CTCAATTTTATAATTTTAATTATATCAAATTGTAAAGTAGGACTCCAAGATGAAAGGATATCATCTTATTTAATAATTATAATTGTGTAATTTAATATAATTTATATGGTACAACTATAACATTTTTTCCTAGCAAGAATATCCCTAATTACGTTTGGTGGCATGCAAAATTTGTGGAAAACAAGTCATCAATTTTTTTATCAGCTTGTGGCAGGTTATTGTACAAATTCGAACCCTTCTTTTTAGAGATTTTGTACAAAAAATGATATAATTTTTTATTCAAAAATGGTCATTTTTTCTTACTAATCAAAACTACTTTCTTCATAAAGTTTTTTAATCAATCATATATAATCTTGTGCACATTCACTTAATTTCTTTTATTCAAATCATAAAAGTTATATCTTTAATTATAAATTTCTAAAAGTGCTAGCTTTGATTAATGAGGAGAAGAATGTTATATCCCTAATTAAAAATATATTGAAAAGTTTCATCCTTATTAGTAGGAAATCTCCTAATTTCAACAATTGAACATCAAATCCTAATAATTGACAGTAAGCAAAGTTCTGTCATGACAACAACAAAGAGTTAGCAATATGATTTTTTTTTTTTTTGCTCTTATTATGATAGATAATTGTATGAAGATAATTCATTGTGTTCTTTGCATACTTTTTTGTTCAAAATAAATATCTAATATTCTGTCATTTTGATTTCTTTTGTTTTAATAATGTTCCTGGGCCTTTCTTTAGTTTTAGTTTGCATACTTTATATAAGGGTTTCAAAGAAGTCGGAAAGTAGCCAAAAAAATTAACCAATTAAATCTCGTATAGTCAAATATTGTATTTATATGCTAAAAGGTGAGCCCTTTTGGTCTATTTGTAAAGATTGCAAGGTGGGACCAAACACATATACATGCCTATCTTTGATTGGTCAAAGTCTTGATAATCATAAATAGTTAATTTGAATTGCTTTCCAACTAATATTGATGCGGTTTGAAAAAGACTTGGTTTTTGCTTTAGTTTTACTTGTTATTCTTTATAATGTCTAAAAGACTCAAAAGAGTCATTGCATTTGCAGAGTTGATTCCATTTATTAGCTATTCTTCAATGTTAGTCAATGACAATCAGTCGCATTAATTTAAGATGTTCTCTTGAAATTGCTTTCTTGGTATTCTATATTCATTTATTTTTTGTTTTGATGGAATATATTCAATTATTAGCGTACCTCAATTTGGAACACTCTATATATACTCTTCTAGAGTACTCTATTACGCCAAACAGAAATATGGGAATTTTCACAATGCTCTCTACGCCACTTTGCCTCATTTTCCTCTTCCTCTACCTTAAAACTACCTTCGCATCCTCTTTACATGCTTCTTCCTTCTCAACAACACACCTCTGCTCTCATGAGGAGGCTGCTGCTTTGTTGCAATTCAAGACATCCTTTTCCATCAATTACACTGTTTGTTATACTGAAGCTAATTATTCTAAGATTGAGTCTTGGAAGGAAGGTATAGACTGCTGCTCCTGGGATGGGATTA